AATTAATTAATTGGTAATATATTTTCCTTTATTATCTACAATTGTTTCTTATTTTCCTATTAAATTTCCTACATTATTTCTAGGTCAGAGCTACTACTATGATATATTTCAGTGTTTACAACTCATCAGAAATACCACTTTTCAAAATATTTGTCAATCATATTAACGGAAAAGAATTTTATTCGAATAAACTTCTAAAGAAAATAAATGATAAGCATTCTTTCTAATATTCGCTTTCATAATTAAATTGACATATGAAATATTTTCTCAAAATTTGAATTCATCAAGTGGATTTTTAATTTTGTTATGTTTATGATTCAAGTCTACAGACTTTTTATTGGAATTTTTGATTAAGGGAATAAGTTAAAAGGAGTAATGAAAAATTTTATGACAAATTGTAACAGATAGCATGTGTTCCAAATGAAATTCACTAAGCCGTTCTAGAATTAAGCGCCATCTGACCCCAATAGGCAGTAGGAAGATTGGGCAAATGGTTTCCGCATGAGATACGCGATATACAGAGGCTTAGATTAACGGAAAAAACCGTTTCATTATTTTAAAGAAGCATATAGAATAGATTGGAATATCGATATGTATATTGACACGAACAGAAATTTAACAAAGCAGTTATAGAAACAGGATTGAAAGAATTTTTAATTTCAGAACTGATGCTTTTTAAAAATACGAAAGAATAAAATTAAATAATCATAAAATTGTGCAAAACTTAAATATGATTAATGCAATTAAATATATGATATTTAAAAAGATCTATAATCCACGTGTCTAAAATTTTACTTAATAAAATAGTGATGAAAATAATGCACCCATTTAACAATAAAAAAATAAAATAAAGTAAAAAGGTTCAGAACCATGTACGTATAGAAATATTAATTTATAAAGTTATCAATAATAATATTAAATATTTTAAATTACTATAATAATTAATATATATTATATGTTATATGTATATGTATTGTATAATAATAATTTATAAAACCATTTACAAAATTAAAGCATGTAATTAAAAAAATGTAATTGAAATTTTAGAAAAAGAGACGTGGGATCAGAATAATTACCCTTCGCGTTTTATCATCCTGCTTTTCTCGAAAAGCATAATCGTCGGTTTGAAGCCAGTCTTGTAGTCTGTCAGGAATTCTTTCCGGAGTTATATTTTGATCGTTACTTTTTCCTTCTTCTTCGATTATATATTGTATTCCGTTTCTTATTCTCGAGTCAACGGATTTGGGCATGTCTCTATTGTAAAGGGGTAAAGATCTTTTTCCAATAGTTTCCAAGATACGGCGGTTCGCGTCGATTTGGCGTTGATCCTGTAACGCCTTACGTCGAGCAAGTTCAAGGAGAACTCTTTGCCTCAAAACGTCTAGGGAATTTACGATAGACAGAGATCCAATTCTCTTGGTTCGAATTACCGTTGATCCAGGATCGTTTCCCGAGTCGAACATTTCGTTCTGAAAATTACGAAATTATTTTTCAATAAAATCATATTTAAAATTAAATATCGTTGAAGTAACTATAGTAATAATTCTTTGCATAATTTTATAAAGTTTTATAAACATCTCTATAACAACCATAAATATACAAAAAATATAGTAACTTTTATAATATAATAATTATAACGTAAAATTTAGGTTAAGATATTTTTAAATTTCGCGGGTTTATAAGCACTGTTGCGTTTGTGCGGTTATTCGAGCAGTGAAAGTTAGTGTGTCCAGCGAAATTAATACGAATCGAGAATAGTTGCTCTTGCGGTTTTTTGTAACGAGTGAATTTAAAACTTAACCTCAAAAAGTGACGATGCACGTGTTATTCAATATACGTTGCACAGTTCTTCTTATACACGAGTCGTGATTTGAAGTTTGATTTACTGGAAGTATTATTGCAGAATATTATTTTATATCGTTGTATTTAAGTTTTTAATACCTTTGATCAACTTTTGTTAACTATTTTGTTGACTTGTTAAGATGACTATTGAAAGATAACAGTGTGAAGTGGATGTTTTGGTAGTTTTAACTGAATTTTGAATTAATGTGAAAGTTTGTAACAAACTCTGGGCTATTTGTTTTCATTTTCTAAAGGGACGTCTTAAAAGAAACACTTTCCCTTATTCCTGAAATCTAGACTTCAATATTTTTAGGTTACAGTCATAAATTTTCTAACTTGTTAGAACAAGAAAAATGATAGCTTTGATAAATTTGTAATGGTTAATTTTAAAACCTGAATGATAATATATTGTAGTAATACATTTTATATGAAAATTGTTAATATACGAGACACGATTAAATATCGAGAATTATTTATTTAAAACTTTTATTTTAAAAGTGAAGCAAATTCAAGGACGTCAAAATAGTCATCTTGGCACTGTATAGAAACAGTGTTTGCATTAGATTCATTATTCATAATATTTTTGATATTTATGGATTTGAATACTCGCTTTCTGGTATTTATTTCAATACCAGCTTCTAGTTTGCATCAGTTTGGAACTGCATTGAAAATACGTTCTTTTCACGAATATAAAGAGGTAATTACGCAGATACAAAAGTGTTTTAGGTTTGTGTTCGATTTCAAATTAACAAATTTTTTTTCTAAATAGTGAAAGAACATTTTTGTAAATAGCAAAAAGATAATATTTTTCTGGTATTATTCCCATATATTATTTTCAGTTATTCGTAAATTTTCATTGATGATTTGGCACTCTTCCTAAAATTTATTAAATTTTACTAACTAGACCAACGAAATTAAGTTGCACTAAAATAAATTACAATGTTTACTTTCTGCGTACCAATAAAGAAGGGATCAGATTACATATTAAAAGAATGTAACTGAATATTAATATTATAATATTAAAACGGAATTGATCTAAAAATTTTCTTGCCACATTTCCAGGGGCGGACCTAAGAGTTTTTTTGAGGATGAGAAGGATGTGTACAAACATCGTTAGACCTTTTTCGAATCTTTTTTTAGTAATTTATATTTTAACACTTTACCGGCCGCTGTCACGCAGGCGTGACTTTTTCTCGCCAACGGTTATCGGCTGTTGTCACGTACGCGTGATTCGGTTCAGCGCGGCACAATGCTTCCACTATGCTTCTATTTTAACTGTCCCGATCGTCTTTTCTTGACATTCTTTAAGCATATGTTTGTTATGTTATTCTCAGATCTTAGTACCTTTTTCAATAATAACCATATCACATGTACGAAGGATAGCATAAATGAGCCGTTTACTGCACAAATTGATTAACTCCATAAAACAAAAAGTGGAGAAATGCAATGAAATAATGTATATTATTTTTTAAAATTCCCTTTATAATTTAAATCGAAATAAATATTGTAGAATGTATAAATACAAATGTAACTTTCATCTAACGGTATATAAAATTTATAAGAAAAAAATAGCCATAAGGTAATCGTTAGTAATGTTATCATTTTTATGTTACTGGAAGAGTTAATCGATTTGGCAAGTGAAAAACGTAATAAATTTAAATTTTACTAAATTTTACTTAAATTCTGATAAGACGGCACTAAAAAATTCACCGTTATCATTCATGGCTTGCTAGTGCATTTGAGTTGCATTATTGCAACGATTTACATTAGAGTACGGAGTTAATCAAAGTGACCTCTGAAATAAATTATTTATTATTCAGTTGCCAAAAATTTTTGTCGTTTAATGGTGTTAATCTTAATTATCAGGGAAAGTTATTACAAATATAAAAAGGTATGACTATGCCAAGTGCTTTAACACTTAAATTTAAGATTTTTCAAAAAGTGGAGTTAATCGATTTGTGCAGTGAATAGCTCAAATATGGCCGTCAGCGAGCAATAGAACCCGCGCGAAATTCGTCAGTCGCAGCGTAAAGGCGATGCAAGAAGTGAGCGGCCGGCAATGTGTTAATATTTCTATCTGATAATGTAGCGTAAATCAGTGCTTTTCAACTCACAGTACGCAACATACTTGTATGCCGCAGAAATATTAAGTTATACAATTTTGAATAAATTTTTTTAAAAATCAAGATTCTTTTGCTAATTTAGTGTAAATAAGTAAATAACTTTTTAAAACTATACTTGATTTCATTATACTCGATACAATTATTTGTTTTTTAGTAAACAAAAACATGTATGCAAGTGTACTATGATTTTGGTAATTCTAAATATTTTGATCTTATCAGCTATTGTTTGTTACAGCAATCTCATTAAATTCAAAGAGTGTTATATCAACAAGGTTGGGACACAGTGGCTTAAATAATCATTCGTACTAATTATTTGTGCATTATAAAAAATAGGTATAATATATACCTATATACATTGTAATATATAATAAAATATATGTGATTAAATGAAATATCTGACATAGTATTTTTTGAAATTATGCTTTTTCACCCCTGCAAACTTCGTAAAATATATATATACGCACATACAGTCATTCACAAAAATATTCGATTGCACGTACTAATTCTTTATTCCCCTTTCTCAATACACTCACCCTTCCATACTTCAAATCCTATTCTTTAAATACTAAACTTCAGGATAATAATATTTATTATATATTTATTTAAAATACTGGACACTAAAATCAAATTATATTTGTCCGAATATTTTTATGACTCACTATATGTATGTATGTTTATTTGACTTTATCGTTCTACTATTTTAGGGAAAAAATATTTGAACAGTATTTAAATGTAATATTTTTGGAATCTTTTATTACCGTTATTGGAAATTTCAGAGTAATTTCACATACAAGTTATTAATTTTGATTTTGAAATTGGAGAAAAAACCGGTTTTAATTAGTAAAAATGACTATTTACTTGAGTTTCTTAAATTAGTGTCTCGTGAAACTTGTATATTTAAATCTAAAAATTTCTTTTATGTTCAGATCAAAGTACAATTATTTTCGTGAAAGTTCGTTTTCAGTTATGAAATTTACAAAATGTAAATATTAATCATGGCAAGAAATAGTGACAAATAATGTGTCATCTATCAATATGCCATTAGGAATCGTACCATTAATTTGTATCCAAGTACGAAGTAAATATAATGGGACTCAGTATAGTAATGTACACATATGGTAAGTAAATACAGGGTGTCCCAAAAAAGCATATACATACTTTAATACCTTATTCTTTCTAATTTATATTAATTTATTATAATATAAATATAATTTATTTATAATCACACAAAGTGTGTATACATTTTTTTGGGACACTCTGTATATATGAGACCATAATGTATATATATATATGGGACCTTAGTAATGCGCTTACTTAAATAATAAGTGTCTGTACAGGAGTCATAGTATACGGCAAATACATAAATGTATATGGATTTATTGTAATTTACATAGTAAGTTAATTATATGATACAGGTAAGATTATCTAAAATGGATATACAGAGTGTCCCAGTAACAATAGTACAACCAAGAAGGGGGTGATTCTACATGTAGAAACGAATTGTAAAAAAAGAACAAAATTTTTTCATTCGAAGCTTCGTTTTCGAGAAAATCGAGTTTAAATATTCATCGAGTGCGCGTGCACTTAGCTTTGCTTTATATGAATAGACCATCGATACACGAGTATCGGTAGTAGAATCGAATAGAGGGTGATTCTACATGAAAGAATAAATCGAAAACAAAGAATAAAATTTTTTCATTCGAAGCTTCGTTGTCGAGAAAATTGACTTTGAATATTCACCGATTATGCGTATACTTAACTTTGGCTAACAATAAGGCGGATGGACCATCAGTATATCAGCGTATTCGGTGGATATTGAAAGTCAATTTTTTCGAAAACGAAGCATCGAATGAAAAAATTTTCTTTTTCTTTGATTCGTTTCTGCATGTAGAACACCCTCTTCTCGGTTGCGTTACCGTTGCTGGGACAACCTGATATGTATGCATGTGCGTGCATGTGCGATGGCTAGTCAAGTAGTGGGGGAACTAGCCAACCGTTTGAGGGATTCACGTGGTTCCCAGCGGAGAAGTTCGTCAGGTCCAGCATAAGTAATGGAAATTCGATCAGTAGTGAACGTGTTAATAAATTTAATACAGTTAATATAATAGATTTAATATAATAACCTCAAATGTTATTTGGTAAGTTCGTAGAGTTTTCGACACTCGATATATTCTATTATGCATTTGGTGATATTGGAAGGGGATTATTTACTATGAAATTTTATCGAATAAAATGCTGAGATCAAATAAATACTGTCTCTAGCTGGATATTAAATATAATGAATAAAGAGTAAGAATGTTGAAGACGGTTAGTAAGAAGAAGTAAAAATGTTGCGTCATCTGCCTCATTTATTAGGTATAACATTGTCAAATTATTATTTATTTTGGTCTTTATAAAATTTCTCTTTTAGGATAAGACGCAAAATATACCAGTGCTTACAAAAATTATGTACGTAAAAAAATTCATTATCGAGGAAAACGAGTTTAAAAAAAATGGACTTAAAG